GCTGGAGGACTTGGGAGTAGTTGGGGTGAAGATAGGGCTCACATTATCAGTTTTCATGCCTCTCTGGCCCCGGCGTCCAAAATGGCCAGTCAGTCGGTGTAGGACAGTACGGCTCTGCCTCCTGGTGGACCGAAGTCTTGAGCTGGCTCCCCTTCGGCCAAGGGAGTTTTCTGTTGGGAAAAAGGGTGTAGAGATGAGTAGGGACACATCCCAAGAAGCTGGGTAGGGAGAGGTCTTTTGTGACTTTGGGCAAGGGCCTCTGACCCCTTCATGCCTCTTCCCCACACTTGCAGTTACCATGGTTACTGTCTCCATGGCCTGCTGGAGGGCCAAGTCCTGGGCCCCCACTCTGAGTGATGTCCTTGAAGGAAAAAAGGAATAGCACGACCTCCCCCATCTCATTCTTGATGGGCATCATGTCCAGGAGGCACCAAAAGGCTGAACCTGTAGATGAGGAGAGGAGGGGGATGATGAGTGATTCCACGGCCTCTCTTTCTCCCCAGTTCCTCTGGGTTTCTGCACATCATCAAAGAGCTTAGTATAGGTTTAGAACTAAGAAACCCCAGAGATTATGTAAGCCAACTCTTTCATCTTATGGATGGAAAAACTGAGACGTAGAGAGGGTCAAGGACACAATGTCACCCAGTCATCTTGTGGCAGTGTAAGGAGCACCCAGGCTTCCAGTGTGCCAAGTGGCCTCTTGGTAAGGCCTGGGGTCTGGGTGGGTCTGTAGGGCAGACTGGACCCCTCACCGTCCTTGCGATAGAAGCAGATTTCAGCCCTGTGCTCCTGATGGCCCTGCAGAGCCTTGTGTAGCCGCTGAAGGGCTGGCTCACTGGTCTCTGGGCCATAGAGGAAACGGCAGCTACAGGTTTTCTGCATGACCTCGGTGCGGCCGTAGCCGGTGAGCTCACAGAAGCCGTCAGAGCAGTAGACGATGGGGAAGCCCCGTGGACCCTGTGCGTTGGCCAGCAAGAAATTGCTGTCTGTGGGAAAAAGAGATCAAGGTCAGGCCAAAGTCAGGGGAAGAGGTCAGCTTTTAGGTGGGCAGCATTTGCCCCAGCCGTGGCCAGAGGTCACAGAGCTAGATGCTTGCCAGGTTCCAGTGTGGGTCCTGGAGACCCCCTTGGGATCTTCTGAAATTAGAGAAAGAAGAGATACAGCAAATAGACAAGCACCTAAGAGTGACCTAGAACTAGGGCAGGGACTACTGAGGGAATGGAGAAGCAGCCTTAAGAAGTCGTGCTGTTCTCTACCTGCCTTTAAACTGGTGAGCTATTGCTGTAGGAGGCAGCACAGCACTGTAAGGGCATGGGCTCCAGTACCCACCCCTGCCACCCATGTGTGACCTTGGGCAAGTTAGTGAACTCTTTGGTGCCTTAGCTTCCTTATCGGTAAAGTGGGAGATTATAATAGTGTCCTCCTCACATGGTAGTTGGGATGGTTGCTTGAGTTACTGAAGGAGAACAAGTTCTGGCACATTGGAAGTACTACACAGAGCGAGCTACAACCAAGAGCTTCTCTGAGAAGGTGAAATGATTCCCCCACAGTTTTCAAAGTCAACATACTGTTGTCCCATTACAGTGCGGGCAGGGCAGAGATTCTAGTGATACTGCACCCATTTTATTGATAGGAAACCAAAGGACAGAGGTTATTCAAACTCACAAAACTAAATGTGAGGGGAGGGAGAGAGTGATGAAGAGGGCCCTCATTCCCTGCCTGCCAGGAAAGATCTAGTTTCTGGATTACTTTTCAGTTAATTTCAGGGCCCTGTCCTTAATGTTAACAAGTCTGACAGAAAAGGGCAATGGGGTGTGGCTCCAATAACCCTCAGCAGGAGAACCCAAGCTGGCTCTCTCCAGCTCCAGTGGGTGGGAGGCTGCAGTGGGGCTGCTGCAGACCATCCCAGGACAGAGTCTCAGTCGAGGGAACTGGCCTCAGACACAGCTAGTCTCGCGTGCCAGGTGGGGTGAGTGTCTGGGGGTGGAGGGGATGATGGGGACACTGAGGGTACCCGAGAGGTGCTGGGCCCCAGGCGCAGCCTCCTTCCATCCCAGGGTCCGTTGCCCCGGTTACGGGTGCTATGGAAACAAGGGAGGTGTGTGTGTGTGGGGGGGGAGGGTAGGAAGGCGGGTAGGGCCCTGGCGGCTCGGTTTCCGCCCTCGGGTACCGCTCCCCCACCCTTTAGATCTCGTCCAGGGTTCCCTAGGGGGACAAGGGAAGATCTCTTGGCTTCAGGGTAGGAAGAAGGAATGGCGGGAGAAGAGGCGGGGAAAGAGGGTTGCAGCTGTCCAAGGTGCTGAACCTGGAACCCAAGCGGGGGTGGGCAAGCAGGGAGTTCCCTCCATCACACCGATCGCCCCCCTCCCACCTCACCCTCTCCAGACACAGACGCGCCACAGGGTCGGTGGTGGCGATTCGCGGAGCGCGTGACCTTAATCTAAGCTGGGTCCTGCCGAAGTCTTATCTTTTTTTTTCTAGGGGGAGGGGGAGCTGGAGACGTCTGAGACTACCCTAGTGTGGCCGGCCACCTCGTCCCACCCCGGGTCTCGGATGCCTCCAAACACGCCCCCAGCAGAGCTCTGCCTTGGAGTGGGCGGCTCCTAAGGCCCCTCCTCCGTTTTGCCGCACAAAGAGCCTCTCATCCTTTGAGTCACACCCCCCAACCTTGGACCCCAGCGCTCCGGGCCCTTTTCCCGTCTTCCCTTGCAGGGCGCTCCCCACCCAGCTCCCTTACCTCGGCCCCGTAAGTTCCCAGACCCTCAACTCTTCTCTCCTCTCGCCTCCGGTCTCGCCACATTCAGGAGTCCCGAACCGGCCGGGATGGAGACTTGGCGACCAGCGTGAACCCCTACCTCCCAGCCTCTGCCCAACTCACGCGTGCCGTCGAAGCGAGTGGCGATGGTGTCCAGAAAGGTGTTTTGCGGGGCCAGCAACCCCTTCATGACCGGCATGGCCCCGGGCGCGGGTTCGAGGCGCGGCGCTGGAGGGCCTTCAGCGCGGCCAGGCGGGAGGGGGCGCGCTGCCGGCGGGGCCGGGGCGCCCCATGCGCCCGCCTGCCTCCTCCCCTCTCTCTCTCGCCACCGCCGCCGTCGCCGTCTCTGTGCCCGGAGCCCTGTCGCGCTTGGCTCAGCTTGGCGCCGCCTCTGGGGGCCCCCTCATCCCCCGCGGGCCGGGTTCTTTTCCCCCGGGCTCGGCCCGCGTCCGCCACGTGGCCTAGCACTGGGAGGGGCCGCCAGCAACACCCGCACCCCTTTCGGCGCCCCCCCTCCGGGAGGGGAGAGGCCCACGCGTGTCTCCAGGGGAGAGAATTCAGGACACGCCCACCGGGAGGGAAGACCTGCAGGAGTGAGGCGGGGCTTGTATGACAGACACGCCTATCTGCCAGAGTGGTCACGCCCCCACGCGTGGTTCCCTGGCTTCTCTCCGCTCCTGCCTGTGGCTCCGCCCCACGGGTTTCCCCGCGCGCCGCCCACGCTGGGGCTAGAGTCTGGTTTGCAGTGCCGCCTGCTGGAGTTGGGATATTTTGCAGCACTCCATATTCCTGCACTCCGGTTTGAGCTAGTAAGCTGAGAGAGATGTTTTTTAGGTGGGTAGTTATGCAAGTCTTCAAGGGTGCAGAGATGGACTTTTGCTGATAAGGATTGAGAGGCTGGGAGCTCCAGCTCCTAGAACGCACCACTTAACCCTCACCTTGTGCCTCGATTTACCTATGGCTACCTGGCGAACTCTACTACTGAGCACAGCACAATAGAATGAAAAGAGCTTTGGGGTCGACGGGGTCAAATTCCAGGTACGTCACTTACTAATTGTATGACTTAGCCTGTCTGAGCCTCAGTTTTCTCACCTGTAAAATGCAGTTAGTGATTCTTAACTCATGTAGTGATTGTGAAAATGTAATGGAATAATACCTGTCTTTGTTACAAAGTAAGTGTCTTGAAGAGCAATTACTTTTCTGTTCTCCTTCCTCCTACTATCTCACCCTCTTCCTTCTGCTATTCTTCAAGTGCAAGAGTCTGGGGGCTGAGAAAGATCATTTTCAGGTGGGTAGAATTACGGCTTGCAGATCTCCAAGGGTGCAGAGATAGACTTGATCTACATCCTCTCTGGGAAGGAACCAGTGCGGCAGCATGAAGGACCCAGGCGAAACCAGATATGAAATTCCTCACTGTAAGCAGAAAATTACTGGGATGGCTGAGGTGGCATGGGGTGGCTGCTTTCCAGGACAAAACAACTAAAGCCAGTGAGAGTGGGAAGATAGGCCTGGGAGAATCCTGGCCCATGTTCCCACCTCACCCCAAGGTTCTGATCTGGGGATCATCATCTGGGACATTAGTTTGTTGACAAATGCCACTTCTGTGTCACTGCTTTTAAATGTCTTAAGCTAGAGTTGCAGAAAAGTCGTGGCCTACCTCTGTCTATGAATTTTCCATGGCACCCAGTTATCTACAGAATGAAGTGTAAAGCGTGAGCATTTCTGAGGCTCTTCACACTCTGGGCTGCATGCTTCACTGGTCCCCACACCCTAGGCCACAGCCACTCTGGATGATTCATTGTTGAACCCCATATTATCTGCCCTTTCTGCAGGCTAGACGCTCATCTCTTCCCAGCCGGATTTTGCTCCTCTGTGCAACTTTTCTTGTTCTCTCTGCCTTCCCATGTAAACTACCCTGCACAGATTGACTAGTAGAGCATTGAGGGACATGTCTGTTCTGCATCCTTCATTCCCAGAGCGCACATATCTGGCACTGGGAGCTCCCCAGCAAGTGTAATTCAGACCCAACCACTCACCAGCTGAGGCCGGTGCCCCAGCCCTCTCTAGCGTTCCCAAGTTGCGCTCCTTGAGGGGCAGCGCGCGATCACACAAGAACAGAGACCAGCCACACTAACCCGAGATTCGTCTTTATTGCCTTTTTCTGGGGGCTGACACCCTAGCAGGCGGAGGGGAGAGGGCAGGGACAACACAGGGCTAGAGTAAGGGCTCAGAGCCGTGACTGTCCTCAAGGCACGGCGGCAGTGGAAGCTGCGGTGGGACAACGTCTCCCGGGACAGGGGCGCGGCGCGGGTTCTGCGCCTGCGCGTCGGCCCATGGTCAGGATGCCAGCCGCGTGGTTGCCGCTGGCCTGCAGGAGGCGCTGCAGCCGGCCCTGGAGACCTGGAGGCCCGGGCCGCCGCTTTCCCAGCGTCAGTATGCCGGCCGCGTGATTGCCGGCGCCATGCAGCAGCTCGTAGAGACGGCAGGAGCATGTCTTCTGGCGGCAGCAGTCCGGCAAGGGCTGCGCGGCCGCGCCGGGCGAGAGCAGCGCAGGCGGGAGCAGTAGCAGCAGTAGCACCATAACCGCGGCCCAGGAGATCTAAGAAGGCGGGAGACAGGGTGCTGGGGGACTTCCCACCACGTCCACCACCGGTCCCCAAGCCTCGACTCTGCCCTGTCGGCTCAGCGCCCCTTTTGTGCCTGTAGGGCACTGCTGGAGATGGCTTATAACTGGTTCCTTTAACTGCTCATACTTCCAGGCCCAGCACAGCATCTCCTCCAGAAAGCCCTTTGAGAGTCCCTGAGTGAATTACTGTGTCTTCTGAGTACCTTTACTCTATTGTATCCTCATTAGAGCCCTTAACATTCTCCACCTTGGAAAAGGAATATCAGTCTGTCTGCACCAGAAATTTTGTAAGTTCGGGGAAAACAGAGGCCCTGTTTCATTTTCCCATCATGGCTTAGAAATACAGAACAGCCCGCTGTCCACAGCAGGCAAACACGTGGAAATCAGGGACAAACAGGACTCAAGCTGTTGTCTTGTCTGCTTGGTCCCTTGGAGTAGAAACTGAACTCAGTGCCTTTGCACCAGATTCCTACTCCTTGGAACACGGTTCCTCTC